GAAGCTGAGGGCATAGCTCACTGGTGGATCATATGTTTAGTTCAACCCAGGCCTTCATCCATGTGTGTGCATACACACACACATACACACACACACACACACACACACACACACACAGCCCTAGTGAGTGGAAGAAAAACAAGAATTATTTCTTAATACAGGTGAAACACCCTAAGTACTTAGCAAACAAAATGCAGGAAACTAAAAGCAACTAATAAGATAGGAATTACATTTTATCAGCGAGAAATACCATTGTTTGAATACTAAATGACCAGTTGCCTTTCCCATCTGTTGTCCACTGCGGCTTGGGGAAGCCTGTTAAAAACTGAGCCACAGGCCCTTCTCCTCAGGCCCATCTCCTCTCCATTGCCCTTTGTTCCAGGGATTCTACATCCAGACACGCTATTTCTCCTGCAGAATCCTGACCCTTCTTCACCTCTTCCCCATGGGTGCCATAAATGGGGCAGGCCCTATATAATCCCAGTCTCCTTTCAGAACCCTGGCCGAGAATGACTCACTCTGGGTGACCTGGAGTCCCAGGGCAGTCCCTGTCTGTGGCAGCCTACACAAGATCGGGGGTCTTGGTGAGGAAGGCCTTCAGCTCTCACAATCGCTGGCTTGGTGGACTGGCCAGCCGTGGGTGGGAGTTGAGCTCCACTGTGTGAATCTGTTTTGCCCTTGTAAAAGTCAGAAGGCCCAGGACATGGCTCACAGAGGCCTGGAGAACAGAGGTCCTAGTAACATGCGTGGATTGGTGGTTCCGCATTTCTCCTTGAGGTGGGGGTATCTACTTAAGCTATAAAAGAGACAGCTCTAAGGTTGGGGCTTTGTCCAGGTGCCCACAGGAACTATGTGGTCAGGGGAGACTCGAGACATGGATGCTTCTGAGAACCCATCTGCACACTCTGCTTTCTCCAGCTTTCACCAAGGCCCAGTCAGTGGTGCCCTGCATCTTGCACTTCCCACTCAAGGTAGCCTGGGGCCAGGAGGGCTGGACTGTGGTGGGCAGGACCTGACAGCGGATCTAGCTTCTTTCCCCAGCTCCTAATTCCCAATCACTTGCCAAGAGCTGCCTACATCTATTTTATTCTTTTTTAGCTGCAAAGAAAATGAACTTATTTTTAAAAATCTCAGTTTTGACCTAAGTATCAAAACAAAATGTTTACAGCCAGGTGGGGTAGTACAGCTTGTCATCCCAGCACTCTGAAAGAGCGAAGCAGAATTGCAATTTTTAGCCAAACAGTTTAATGTTTCAGTGAGACCCTGTCTCAAGATTTAAAAAAAAAAAAAAAGAAAAGAAATTCTGTCACTGATTGCAAAGGTCCTGTGTTTAATTCCTAGTACCACCAGCATCACTCTCAAAGTTTTTTTTTTCTCTTAGCATAGCTGAGATGGCAAAACAGAACTTTAATATTATATATTACGCAATTTTGAAGTATTTAATGGAGAGCTGAACTTTAGTCATGCTTTCTCTGATTTTAATATCTCATTCTTTGTTGGTCTTTGATTCAGAATGAATTCAGCTTCTTAGTATAGCCAAGTGCCACAAATTGGGTGAGTTTTAAATATATAATGGCTTTCAATTTAATGGTTGCTAGAGCTTTTAGCAGTAAAAGGGGGAGAATGAAAGGAACTGTCATAGATTTCTTGCCTAAAAGGAGTATTCTGGTAATATTCAAAGTAGAGAGAAGCATGGATCCGAAGGTCACATTGCGGCCAGCATCAGAAAATCACAGCACTAGAGGAAGAAAAGACAGAGTGCCCAAATCTGTGCTGTCCAAAGGGCTCACTTAGAAAGGCCATCCCATCCTCAGGGGATGTTTTCTTTTGGGGTGGGAGGTGTACTCTGTAAGGCAAAGCATTGTGTTCAGTTAGACTTCCAAGGAGAAAAGCCTTTTGTTTTAAAATTATTGAGTATGCACAGAAGGCTGAGGCAGGAGGATCACCAGGAGGCCTACAAGTGAGTTCAAGGCCAGCCTGAACTTCATAATGGGACCCTGTCTCCAGAAACAAAAGGAAAAATTATGATGTATATTGTTTCTATAAAAACAAGTGGGCCAAGCTTGGCGCATGCCTGTAATCTCAGCTCTTCAGAGATTGAGGCAGGAAGATTGCTGTGAGGCCAGCCTGGGCTATAGAATGAATTTGAGGCCAGCCTGAACTGTGTAGTGAAACCCTTTCTCAAACAACAACAGCCACCACCACCACCACCTCCACCACCACAAACAAAAGACAAGTTAGAATAATGAATGCACTTAGCCTGAGAAATTAAATACTAATTGCTATATTCAAAAACCCTTCTTCCACCCTATTTCTTGTTCTCTCTAATTTTGTGTTTATCTTCCATGCATGTGTATACGTATGCTTTTGCTCTGTGTATATGTCTATACATGTGAATGCTTGTGTATCTATAAATCTTATGTAGTATTATATTTTAATCCCTTATTTAGAAGATATTACACTGTACATATACTGCAGTTTTTTTTTTTGTTTTTTTTTAAATACTTTGAAAATATTAGGGCCAGCCAGATAGCTCAGTGGATTAAAGCGCCTGCTTAGGCAGATGCAGGGATCGGGTTCAATTCCCAGCCTGCTGTGCCGGCCCTGCCTCCAGGGTGTGCTGAGATGGGCGATTGAGACTGGGCATGGTGGCACACACATGTAATCCCAGTGCTTGGGAGGCTGAAAACAGGAGAATCACTGTGAGTCTGATCTGTGTAGTGAGGCCCTATAGACCCTGTACTAAATACATAGTAAAAAAAAAAGAAAATACATGTGGTTCTGGTTTATTCACTTTTAACTACTATGTAGCATTTCTGTCTGTATTCCATCTATTTAATTATTCTCCTGTTGATTGAATATTTTAAAGGACAGGAAATTTTTACAGTTAGACCAAGGAATGTTTTGTCTTCCATAGTGCATGCCCTCTTTTATCCTGTTCCTGGGAGAGCCCTTCGTACTTCCCCAGTGAAGGCAAAAAAGGTTGTGTATATTCACAGATGAACAAGCATGCCTTGTGCAAAACGCAGAGCAGTATCTGCTGTAATACAGCATGCTCAGAAGGGACTCAGCTGCTGCAGCTGAAGCATGGTTTACTCTACCAAAATCCTCAGATTTTCCAATTGCTGACAAACTGGATGGAAACTTGTTGGCATTAATTCATTGTTTCTTTGTGTTTGGAATTATCTGCAGTTTGGAGACTATCTGCTTTATTTGTAAAAGACTGTGTGCCTTTTATGGTAACAAAATAAAACACTTGAATTTTATCATGGTCTTATGGAACAAGCCAGAGAAAAATGAGGTCTAGGAATCAAGGCATGTTGGTGTGTGTGTGTGTGTGTGTGTGTACATGTGTGCTTGTTTGTGTGCGTGTGTGCTTGTTTGTGTGTGCACATTGAGACATAATTGGTGTGAAGTAAAAAAATTGGTGTGAAGTAAACATTTGCTTTAATAATAAATTACCTATTAACCTATGTACTCTATATTCTTTGTAGTTATTGTTTTAAAAAAATCTCTGATAAATTTTGTTAATTTCCTCAATTTCATGCTGTTATGTTTCATTTGTAGCATCCTTGATAAGGTTTGAATATTTTTACAGGACACGCAGTGCAGACCTTCATTTGGGTTGTCTCTCCAAATGATTTGCTGTGTAGTGCATTAGCTAGAAATGCTGAGGTGGCAAGGGAAACACAGCGATGGGATGGTTTCCAGGGACGCGAGCTAAGGCAGGCAACATAAGCCAGAATTAAGAGGAAAATGTTACTTAGGCAGTGAAGGTGTAGTCTGGCCAGATAGGCTATTAACAGTGAGTATCTTATTCTAATTAAATTAAATGGGACTTGAGCAGTGTGGGCCACTAGATCTTCTTAAAAAAAAAAGTGATCAATTTTAAGCATATTAGAATTAAGGGTCTTGTAAGAGTAGTCTTTTGGCTAACACTTGGTTAGAGTGAAATATTGTCATTGCCACTTTATGCTTGATAGATTCTAGAACCTCAAGGATAATGAAAAATCAGCAGCTTGTTTGTTTTTTCTATGGTTCTGAGGGAAAAGGAAAGATATCTGTAGTAAAAGAAGAGTTAAATTTTTTTTTTTTTTATGTGGAAAGGAAACAAATGATGAAGATAATTAAGAATAATTTTTGTTTTTTCACTTGTTTTCTTGCTAACCACACAATCATGTTTTACTTATTTATAGTGTAGATTTGAAAAGAGGAGGAAGTGATATGTAGAAGGGCTTTTATGTATTTTTTTTTTGCTCTGAATGCCTTCAGGGCAGGTTTGGTTGGCTTGAGTTGTGGGGATTTTTTTTTTTTTTTTTCCTTGTTTTGGAATGATCTCTAGTTATTTTCAGACAGAACCCTTATTCCAGAGCATTGTGTGGCAAAACAAATTAACTGCATTGACTGATTATTTTTTTTCTTGTGGTGCAGTAGATCAGACCCAGGATGCTGTGCAAGCTCGGCGAAGGCTCTGCAACCGAGGTCCTCTCCCCTCCTTTTAATTGAAGGTTTCTGAGTTTTGTTTAAAACTTCTGTTGTCAAAGTCTCCTTTAACTGAAAATAATTCTGTTTTCCAATTGCTTATTAAAGTTCTATCTTTTTGTTGTTGATTTCAGAAACACAGAGATAGGATGAAAAAAATTCCACCCTTAAAAAAAAGTATTTCTAAAAGCAGTGGTTTATGAATTGTTATTCAAGATCCTGATTTTCACATCTTTTTGACTTTACCATAATCAAAGATATACTACTCTTCTGAAAAAAGCATATTATAGAGTTTTTCAAAAATCAATCTGAATTTATTCTAGGTTACAATTAATATTCTTCAAAAAGTGACCTCTTGTCCTAATGGCCACTGTAATAACTAGTAGCTAAGAATGACATGAACAGATCTTTTGAGATTTTCTTTTCTTCTTTGGCATTATATCCTGAGGTACCCATGTGAGCAGGCTCCTGAGGGTCTTTACTTTTGACATTGATTTTACTTTTTTCTGTTCTTTTAGGTCTTTCACTACCATTCCTACAGTGGTTGCAAGATACCGTTTCTTCCTCACTCTCCATGTACCATGCCAGTGACATCTTAGCTGCTAGAGTGTGGAGCTGGCCTGTGGGAGTCAAGTAAGTGCCTTTTTTACTATTTGGCATGGTTTTTGCTTACTTTGCAAAGCCATGTAGAGAAACTTCTTAAGATTAGTTTTTAAAAAGGCACTTGCTTGATCCTTGTGGGCTGGCTCTTTGCTCCAGTCTGCTGTTGAACACCTGGTAGCTAACATGGGCCTGAGTTAGTGAGGTGGCTGTTGGAGGATGGAACATTTTACTAGGCTAGACATGAAAGGATGATAGAATTGAACTTGGCTTGTGCAGTCATATTGGTGAACAACCCCTGTCCCATCCCAGAGCAAGTCAGAACCATTAGCTCAATTTAGCAGGGTATGGAAGACCAAAAATCTGCTAGTCTACACCAGCAGATTTGTATGAAAACAGGGGTGCTCTTCAAGGAAAACCAATGACTTTGACATTTATCTTACTTATTTGACTTAATTGATGGAAGAAGTCACAGTAATGGTTGACATTAATCAGGTTTGGGTTGTTGTATTTATTGCTAAAGTTGCTAAAACCTGGTATTTTACTTTTGCAGGTCATCTTATAAATTTTGCCTATATAAGTTAACGCATCCCCTGTTATGTCATAACAACCATGTAAGGGAGAGTGTTTTCCTGCTCTGTCTTAGGTATTGATGGTGTGACCTGTTCATGCAGGGGAAACTTGAACATTCGCAGGTATGTGAAGATCACAAGTCATAAGCATTTTTTCCCTGCAACCTAGTTTATTTTGCTATGAACTTATGATGTGGTTTTATAAAATTTATCTTTCCATTTGATTTTACTGTCCCCTGTTACTATAAAATGAGGCCTGGCAAACTATGGCCTAGATTGCAGCTTGCTTTTATAAATAAAGTTATTATTATTATTTTTTTTTTTGGTGGAACCTGGGATTGAATTCAGGCCCTTCCACTTACCAGGCAAGCACTTGCTCTACTGAGCTATCTCCCTGGCCCCATAAATAAAGTTTTATAGAAACAGAGATCCATTCATTTATATATTGTTTATGACTGTCCTTATACTATAAGGAGAAAGTGGAGTTGTTACTACAGAGACCATATAGTTCATAAACCCAAGATACTTGTTATCTGGTTCTTTAATAAAAAGTTTGTCAGTTGTACTGCACAAGAACCAGAATGCAAATTTTATTTAGTTATAATCTTAATAGAGTCATAGTTGGTTTAAGATAGACTTCTAAAGAGAAAACAACAAAGCCTAGACCTATGTGAAAATGTCGCTGACTAGCAAGTAAATATTTTACACACACACACACACACACACACACACACACAAACACACACACACGGTGGTACCTCAGTTCACAAATTAAATTCTCTCTGTAATTCTGTTTGAGAACTGAACTGGAGGAGAACAGAATTATCAGATTTCCTCATATGGTCAACATTGAACCCAACCATTGAATTTGATTATATATGTATGATTACTAATACAAGGAAAAGGGAACAGAAAGCTTTTTTTTTTTTTTTTGCGGAACTGGGGATTGAACTCAGGCCCATCTCCCTGGCCCTGGGAACAGAAAGCTATGATGACAGCAGGATATTATTAGTTTTTAGATTCTCTAAGGGTTTCACAGGACAAATAAGGATAAAAGTTTTAGCTAGAATATCTGGTATAGCCAAGAAGTAAAAATAAAAGGTCCCCCTGATTTTTAGATTGTAGTTAATGCAGCCTTTTTTTTTTTTTTCTAAATGTATTTGGTACATTAGTGTGACAGTTTCACTACTCAGCTAGGACTCATAGTGATCCTGCAGTTTTCAGTCTCCCCAGCACTGGAATCACAGATGTGCGCCACCACAAACCATCTTGGTGGCTGGCTCAGCATGCCCGGGGACTGGGCCAGTGTGGCATATGGTGCTAGGGATGAAACCGTGATCCCTGCGCCTGCCTAAGCAGGCGATTAGTCCGTTGAGTTATCTTGCCAGCCCAATAAGCCTTGTTTAAGGATCAGAGGGCAAACCAGCTGTACCACGGAAGCTGGGGGCTAGGTTTCCTGCCTTCTTGTCCAGTGTTCCTTTTATTAGGTTTCATATCGAATTAGAGGCTGCTTGTTTTCTCAACTAGCTGAGTGATAGTGCGTTTCTTTTCCTTTATTTCTACATCAGGCAAAGATTTGATGATTTTAACTACAAAGATACAACTGTTGGAATGTTGGCCTTACTTGAAATTTGGGTGCTTTTATTTTATAGGTTGAAGATTACTGGAGGATTGCTTCTTAATGAATCATTACAGTGTATATGCAGAAAGGTTAGGTTAGATGGAATATGGTCATAATTTTATAGCTAGAGTAAAACTAATGTATTTTTGAATCCAGCCCCGTGTGTGTGTGTGTGTGTGTGTGTGTGTGTGTGTGTGTAGGGAAAGGGAGAGAGAGGGAAGGAGGGAGGGAGAGCGAGCGAGCGAGTGTGCCTTTAAAGTATGTCTGTATTGCATTCTGAAGAGTTTAGCAAGTACATTACAATCTGAAGATTATATTGCATAGTTTTAAGTCAACATTTAAATAAAATTGTGTTTTAGGACAACCTGAGGCTTAAGGATAAATACAAAGATAGTATGCAGAGTTCCCAAGTATCCCCTTCCCCTGCCTTCTCTGTTATTAACATCTTACATCACTGTGGCATATTTGTTACAGATAGTAAACCAATCTGGATGTATTTTTATCAGCTAAATCCATACTTTACTCCGATTTCCTCAGTTTTTTTGTGGCTGTTTTGTTTCTGGATTAAATACTTTTTTTGTTAGTTTTGTTTTTTAGGTTTTGTTCGGAGAGTTGACAAATTAATTTTTATTAGCATGTTCATTGAGGAAGAAGGTGTCTGTAGGATCACCTGAAGGGTAGAATTCTGTAGTTCTGAAGTTACTGTATTTCCAAATTAAAAAAAATGTTTTGTTGTTGGTGGTGGTGGTACTGGGGATTGAATCCAGGGCGTTTGTACTGAACTACACATCCCTAACTCTTATTTTGCTGTGGAGACTTGCTTATTTGGTAGATTGCACAGGTATGGCGTGAATTTGTAATTCTCCTGCCCCAGCCTCCTAGAGGACTGGGATGACAACGTAGAACTTTGTCTCAGTAAACCTATACTCTTTTATTAATCAGTTTCCAGGGTTCCAATTAAGCATACAGGCTTACCTGAGGCAAAGTTCTCACTTGGAACACTTACATTCTGTAACATTCTTTACCTTATTGGTAATAGTAATGGCTCTTCAATTGTTTCTGAATTTTAGCATCGTCAGTGCCAGAAAAGATGAGGCATACTTCTTACTTCTAAGTGTTATTAAATGTCACAGGTCAGATTGCTGGTAGAAATATTCTAAAGCAAATTGCCTTCTTTAGGAACCCTCCACATGAACTATCCTCTTTCAGGATGCTTTTCTTTCTGAAAGTATTTGTTTTGGAAGTGAGTACCTTCTAGTGAATCATGCATCATTATCACCTCACTATAAAGACCTTAAAATATGTCTCTCTCTCTCTCTCTTTTTTTTTTTTTTAACAGAACCGGGGATTGAACTCAGGCCCTTGCGTTGCCAGGGAAGCGTTTATTCTACTGAGCCATCTCCCCAGTCCCCAAATATGTCTCCTTTAAAAATTCTTTAATTATTTACTAATGTCAAACACATGCATGTCCTATGACTCAGCAGTTCCATTGTTAGATGAATACGTAACAGAATTGTGTGTCTATAGTCACCAGAACACAGGGACAAAAATGACTATGGCAGGACTAGTAGTCCAAGTTGAATTCTCTAACTGCCTATCAGTAGTAAAATGGGTACATTCTGATACAATCACAAGGAATATTAAATGGCTAGAAAACACTACTGTTACATATAAAAATTTTTGCTTCTCACGAATATAATATTAAAAAAAAGTCAAATAGTAATCCTGCTTAGTCTGAGTCCATTCACATAAATTAAAAAAAATGAGTGAAACTAACTAAAACAGAAGTCAGGAGACTGATTCTCCTTGTGGACATCAGGGAAAGTGTTTGGAATGGGATATAAAAGGGCTTATGGATGCTATTTTTTTAAAAAATTTATTTATTTATTACATCTATTTATTGTGTGTGTGTGTGTGTGTGTGTGGCCAGCTCAGCCTGCCAGGGGGCGGGGCTGGCTGGCATGTGGTGCTGAGGGATCGAACCGCGGTCCCTGTGCTTTGCCAAGCTTGTTCCAAGTAGGTGCTTTAGACCACTGAGCCATCTCTCCAGCCCTATTTTTTTTTTTTTCAACTTTAGGTACTGATTGCATGAGTGAGTTCACCTTGTGAAAAACAAGCATATATGCTTTTCATGTGAATGTTATTCAAAGAAAAAAAGTATACAAATAAAAGCTAATGGAATTCACAATCAAAAAATTTCATCGCAAGCACTTAAGGGACATATGGACAAAAGTTGAGTGGACTAACCTTGTATATTGAATAAATCAGGCCCGTTACAGGGGTATGAAGGTTGCCACTGTGTTACTGTAGTGCTATGGTCCTATTTACATTATAAGATGAGCAGAGTAGGTGGCCTTCGAGGCTTCTTTTTACTGTTGCCAGGTTTGGGGGATGCTTCTGAAGAGGGTATCTTTTTTTTTTTTTTGAGGGTATCTTTTCTTCTTGATCTCTATTAAGTAGTCACCAAGTCAGAATGCTTGTTCATTCTTTCTATGGGAAGGACTGATTCATCATTGTGGGGTGGATGTATTGGATGTGTTAACTGTGGCGGTGCATTCTCCTTCCTTCTCATGCTTTGTTAGTTCAGTGGTGGGCTTCAGTTTTGTCTCCCTGCTTACCTTATGCTTTCTTTTGGCTTTCAAGTCATCACTTCTCACCTAACCCAAATGTAGAGTCCTTTTCCAAAATGGAGAACTTTTGTGACCTTCATACAGATTCTTTGGTTTCTCCAATTATTTGTGTTAAAATTAGTTTTTCTTTCCTCTTTTGTCAGTAATCTTTTCCTACCACCTTCTTTTAAAATTGTGGTAAAATACAAATAGCTTAAACTTTACTATCTTAACTTTTTTAAATGTACAGTTCAATATCTCACCCTTGTATTTAGTAGCTAACTCTAGTTGGAGTCTCCTTGCTTATCTTGTACTTTGTGTTCCTGTCATTAACACTCTCCCTTTGTTTCAATTCTTAGAGTGTGCCTGGCTGCTTGCTTCAACAGGGTTCCAGCTTTTTAGTGTTTCTTCTGCAGTGAGTCCCTTCTGCTGGTACATCTTTCTGTCAGGTCTGTCTAAAACCTCACTTATGGGGCTAAGGGTGTGGCTCAGTGGCAGAACACTTGGCCTAGCATGACAAGGCTCTAGGATCCCAAAGTAAAAACTAGGAAAATAAAACTTTACTATCACATTCGTAACACAAAGGCTCCCCACTACCTTTTTCAATTTAATGCAAATTGAACTGCTATATAAGGCCTTCTAAAATTGAATTCCAATTTTTCCTTCTTTAATTTTTTTTTTTTTTTTTTTTTTGTACTGGGAATTGAACTCAGGACCTTGAGTTTGCCAGGCGGGTGCTGTGCCACTGAGGCACATCTCCAGCCCATTGATAATGTTTGGATAACCAGTGACTGCTTACTATCTTTCACGTTCTTTAATTTATTTAATTTTTTTCTGAATAGTCTTTTAAACAGACTGTGGAATCAGAGGCAGGAACATTCTGAATAATTTGC